ATCGGTCAAATGAAATTCCAACGAAAGCTGGCGAAATCGACAGATTGCCGTCGCCATAAAGGTCCAATAAATTTCTTTTGGATGTCTTCTCGCGAGAATGGAAAATGGCTATCGAAAGGGCGAATTATTCCTGCGCAAACAGTTGCCTGAGCAACAATTGGTGGCGATAATGCTGATATCACGAATGTGATGAAAGAAGGAATTTTATTTTATTTTTCAAAACTTATTAAAAAAAAAAAAAAAGAATAACACATTCACATTAGCAACTTCCTTTCCTCTATTTTATAATTTTTTTCCATTTTATCGCCTATGACTTTTTTTTATCTGCGTGTATAAATGTAAAAAAGTAAATATTTGTACATAAACGCAGGTTAAAAAAAAAAGGATTACAATGATACTGTTTAAATTTTTGTGGCTGTTTGACTTTTTCTATTTACCGATAGAAATGTAAAAAAAGGTCTGCTTTTTTTTAAGAAACTTAATCCTAATCGACCCTTGGTCGAATAAATAAATGTATATAAAGTGAATAACACGTCGTACGTAAACTTTAAATGGCGCTTTCACTACTAAAAGGCAAAAAATTTTATTTTCTTTACGCATTTTCGCAACGTTTGATATGTCAAGGATGTTTCCCTAAAACTTACAGTTTTCCTAGAGCAAACATCGAAAAATGAAATGTGCTCGTACGTGTATAAAATATAAAAATAAAGTAAAGTGATATTTGATGAATGAAAACACACACTTTAAAATTTGATTTTTTTTTACTCATTAAAGTCACAGTTTACGCAAAACAATTCACTCACCGAAGAATAACAATATTTATGCAAAATTTTCCTTCGCAATTCCATTTTAATCGTTCATTCGCTTACCGACATAATCGATCAATTTTCTTATTATCGAATGTCACGCCGCATTGACGATCAAGGATCCGCTCTTTCCTTTGTCGTTTACCGACAATCTCGTCGATAGAAAAGACGCTCGCTTCTGCAAACAATTTAGCATAAATTGAAATTGGAATTGGAGCTCCGATGGATAGCCACGATGCGGATATAAAGGATTCAGGGTTTTTATCATCGTCTATATTATTTTCATTTAAATCGTTTCTCTATCGCGACGTTCATCCTTTGAATTTTGTAATAAAAAATTTTTTCGAAATAAATAACAATCGATATGTTTAAAATTTTTCAAAATTCATTTGAAGAGGAGAAGAAGAATATATGCTGTTCGTTTAATCGCGATAACGATTACATCAATTGCTTGTAAATACACAGAATTAACGAATCGAAATCATTAACAATTGAGCGAATGTTAGACATGGATAATTGATATCATCGTTCGCGTTGAAAATGCTTTACAAGTTACACTTCCGATATTCATACATATATGATTGACAATAATGGAATTGCAATATTTAACCAACATGCATGTATAATTATGCATGACTTTTGGATATACGTATATAATTTCATCTCTCAACACATGCAAACGCATCTATAACGTTTCGAATAAGCGAATCGTCCCACAATCAATAAACGGGCTCGTACAACTATGATCGTATTAAAACGATGTAAAATTTTATCTTTTTTAAATACAACAATAACTTCATCGTTCCCATTGTGTCCAATTCAGATCCATTTTGCCTCCATTTTAATCCGTTACCTCCATTCCTTTTCTTCGTGAACAATATATACGAGCACAATGGCATATAAAGAAAAATAAATCGGAATGGTATACATAACTTGTACGATAATTTCAAGTGGAAATACCTTGTTACGAGTCGGACATCTTGCCTCGCGATACGTCGAAATAAACTTCGTAAACTCGATAAATTAAATAAAATCCACGCGCAAGAAGATTGTAACGCGCGCACACAACATCCAATTCGTTTTAATTTAATTACATTTCGCATTAAAATCTCTATAAAATCAAATCTGGGGAAATTCACTGCTCCCAACCCACGTCCCAACCAGTCGTGGTGGCGCGCAATTAAGTCAGAGGTTTGCTCGTTCTCGAACGGTAGACGCAAATATTATTTCCCAAGATTAACAAGCAACCGTGTTGCGAACGCATCCCCATCCATACATCTCGCCAAGATAACAATCTTCCATTTGTTCCCTTAACAAATCCACAGTTTTAAAGTCGTTTCAAAGTTTATTCCGTGAAGTGTATAACATTTATTTATGTATATACACGCGTTATTTAACTCGTGGCAATTCATATCCGGGGGATGAAATTCGTTCGACCGGAAGGTATCTAGGGGGCGCTGACCGGATGCGGGCCGCGTTCCTCGACGAAGCTCGCGCGCACGCTTCCGCCTCTCGGTCTCGCATCGGAGAGATTCATTGGCCCGTTGATATTTCAATTATTAACCGCTGACACGACTCCACCCGAATTTACCAGCCTGTGGATCATTAGGCCGGCTGCAATTTCGACAATGAAAAGGGATGGCGATGATTGGACGGCCGCCGCTCACTGTGACACGTAACGCTTCTCTGATCGGCTTAATACACTGTGATACTGCGATCGTCATGCTCTTGTCCATTTTTCGCTTTGCAACCGTTGTTAGGGTATTTAACGAAAGAATAGAGAAGCGGAGAAAAGAGAGAAGAAAATAGTGTAGCGTTTCTAAATGGAGGAGGTTGATAAATAAATGTAAGAGACGTGTAAAAAAATAGAGGCTGAATTTTGAGGAAATTGTTAAGAATTAATTTGATCGAGTTAAAAGAGAAATGTGGTATTTTAGGTTGACAATTGGATGGAAAAACGTGAAATGTTCGAAATGTTCGCAACAAGTGCGTAAGCAACTTATTAGGGAGTGGACGTTCGAGGGTGAAAGTTTGAATAAATTTGGACGGGATGGAAAACAATGGGAACGCGAAACGGAAACAGGGTTACTCGTCCGCGGTGACAGCGAATTATTACGAGTCCTCGATTCACAAAAAGCCACGTGAAACATAGTCGTCCCCGAAGCCAGGATACGCGCACGTTACGAACATTCGCCCTCCATTGTTCTCGAAAAAAATAATCCACATAAAAAACTCCTCCTCCCTATCGTGCAGTGAATACACGATTGATTCCAAGTTGTCGTTTGGCTGAACAATAACCACGATATTTCGGATCCCTTAAAAAACAAGTAATCGCGCGGATCGTTTGAAAAATGGTTCAATTGAAATTCTTGTATTCTGCCCGCTATCGATTTTACAATTTTCGTAACAATAATCCCCGAACGATACCGTGGTTATCGTTTTTAAACGTTTTTTTCATTTCGCGACAAATATTTATAAGGTAATAAATTCTTTTCTGCACGAACGTTCGAATTTACAAAAATATACATTTCCCTCCCCCTCCCCCCCCCTCTCCCCACGTATTAATTACAATTTTAATTTCACTTAAAATTTTAAGATGATTATAATTCTTCAAGAATTATTTTTACGATGGATACTTTGAACGACTTTCAATTGTAACTATACAATACTCGGCTGTTGCAACCATCCCTTATGGAAAAAAAGTATCCTGGCTTGTACCAATACAACTACGTTTCTATGTGTACTATGTTGTGTCACGTGTCTCCTGTCAATCAAACGTGTGAAAATGTCAAATGACAGTCTAAGCCTCGATGGGAAATAAAGAAATCTTCCTTGGATGAAAATGAAATGACCATAATTACGTAAACATCGCATCTTTCTTGGAATTATTATCAGAAGGTAAGTAAAAATTTTATAGAAACCTATAAAATTGTTGAATAATTTATATGATACAAATGGAGGATGCCAATACACCTCCATGGCGCTCTGTTTCGTTCATCAAACGGTCATTGATTCTTGTTTTGCGAACATGTTGGATAATTATTATTATAGATACGTTCGCTTCTACTTGAAGTTAGTTGGTTCGTGGCCGTTCGACAATAGTAAACAACAAACAATTCGTAAATGGTTTATTCAAGCGATGTTTGTTTTGATTATTGTGTATCAGATAATTTTCAATTCATTCGAAATTCTTCGTTTGATTCAATTTTTCTTGTTTATACTAAAATAATTTAATTTGAATAATTTGAATGAAAATTATAGAAGAAATAATAGAAGTATCGAAAAGATTATTGTGCGAGCAGAATTGTTATAATAAAATAATGGAAAATAATAAATGAATAGCCACAAATATTTCTTTTATATATTATTAGATATTATTATTATTATTATTGCAATCATAATATAAATATAGTAGATATTCCATGATTGACGATTATTGCATTAATTATGTCTTCTAATCACATCAGCCTCAATTACTTCATTATTATTAATTAATCATTATTACTAATTATCAAACTATTTACACATTTATGTAAATTTTAATATACAAAAATATATAAAAATATACAGAATGAAGATAGTATGCATTAACATGAAAAATATTCAAATTAAAACACCATAATTATTTTATTTAATAATAGAAATAAAATTTAAATAATAATTATAACGATATTTTAAGTAAATACAATTTTTATTTTATTTGCTATTTTCATATCTTTTTATTAATTGTAAATTTATTTTCAACAGATCCGGATATTGTAAATATAATATAATATTGAACTTTTAGAATGCATAATTATTCTAACAATAAATGTTATCCTGTCAATTAAGTATTACACATGTATCTTCAATTATGATGTGGTAAATTTATAAATCTTTTATTATTTATTATTCGACGCTTCTCTTTGATCTCTTAATGAATACGTTTTTAGATGAAAATATTATTTATAAACATTGAACGAGATTGGATTTGAGTTGAATTGCATTAATGACATGAACATATTAAAAAAATATAGTCGTAATAGTTATTTATACGAAAAATATTTAATTTGTAAGTCATGTTATTACTTAATGTACTTAATTTCCGAACGTGTAATATTTTTATTCACAATATTTTGAATAATAGGGACAACTTGGATTATCTATGGTTCAATTATCGTAATAAATATCATAATGAATTATGCTGTATATTTTATAAATGTTTTAAACGATTTAAACAAAATAGATTATTATATTCTCATGATATTTCTCAATATCTTCATCATATTTAGTTTGATTATTTTGATATCTACTGATTCGATTTGTACAACTATCACGTACCATGTCTGTGCAGTACTTGATATTACCAGATAAAAATTAAAGTAGGATAAGATTACGACGAAATATATACAACGTATTGTATATCTAGTTACAGATTTAAACATCTTTTCGATGATCTTCGAAAGATGAACGTCGCACATAGAAAATACTTACTTCGAAACCGAATCGTGGGCATAGTTAGACACCATTGGAAATGCATCGAGTATGTGCTATATTTTGTGTTTTTTTTCAAATTATTATTATTATTATTATTATTTACACTATATCTTATATTATAATATTTCTATAAGGTATATTAACCTTCTGGATTCATATTATTCTATACCTATTGTTCTGCAATATTTAATAGCAACAATTATATTCACTTTGAAACTCTACAAGGTAAATATAGATATACGTGAAAGTTTGAAATTGAAATTTTTACGATCGACATATTGATGTATAATTTCTTTGAAGATATACGAATGCGTAAAAATCAATCACTTTAGAAAGATTATAATCATATTGATAGATATTATTCAGAACTACGTATTCATGTTTCTATATTTTTGTCCAGCTACTAAATTGACGAAACACTCTGAGATTTTGTTAAACAGTGCGTAAGTAAATTTTTAATACGATTAATATCCAAACTTTGAAATTGTATCGATGATCTGACAGGTTTTCTTCAACTAGATACAACGCGTGCTGGTACGAGACATTCGTTCACATACAAAAGATGTTCAAATTCGTAATACAAAATACTTTGAAATCTTATCACTTAGGAATTTTAGAAATATTTTGTATAACATTTGAATCGATGGGTAAGGTATACATTTCATTTAATATAACTATCATTCTGAGATAAAAAGAAGACACTCAAAAGGAATATATAGGTTTCATTGATTCTTCTACAGAATTCTTCTCTTCGATGGATTTCCAGATCATTTGGAATTGTTTCGAACTTTCACTCATCGCATGGCTCGATTCGATACTATTCCAAGAGATCTTTTGATGCAAATGTTTCAGTGTAGGGGATGAATTTATAAAATAAGATTGTGCATTAGAAATAATGTTTCGATAAGTTTGTGAATCAGAAAAGAACTTGAACTTAATATTAACCAATGTTTTCTAATAATTTATTAATTATATCTACTTTTACATATACCTTAGATATCAAAACAGTAGAAATTACGTCAATGGATTTATATGAAAAGAATAATTAGATAATTGTTTGTAACATTGCTTGCTTGTAAAATTATATATATATATATATATATATGAGAAGTGTCTTCTTTTTATTTTTGTAAAAACACTTGTTGATTTTCCATAAATTATTTAAAAGCAAGTTTTCTCATAATTGTTTGATGTTTTTAAGCTGGTGCAATTCTCCTTCTCTTGTTTTATTCTGTTAATATCGTTAAAAGAATGAACGATATAAGTTGGCATCATATTTTTCTGATTGTCATAGTATTGTTCAGAAGATTTGATTAACGTTTAATATACGGTTATCAATGGAGAATGAATAAATAAAATATTGCATCAATAGAATTTCACCTGCTTGTCAAATATTTATACTTATGAATTATAAAAAATTGTTGAAAATAATATTACATTTCGTAATTTACAACATATTCCTGTAATCATAAATAACGAACATGTATTCATTACATTTAAATAAAATATTTTCACCAATAACTAATATATCATAAAGATACAATATGCTGTAATTACATGTACATGTCAATGTACGTGCACGTGTTATATGTCGAAATGAATATATATTTCTTCTTTTTCTTTTTTTGCAAAAAAACGCATTCTGCATTGGAAAAAAGTAATAACAGTGAACAGAAAATTGAAAACGGAACTGTCCTACCTTTACATTTCATGATAAATACACCACCGATTACATCCTTCGCGTTATTATTATTTTGCTTTGTTGTTAATTTAATTTCAAATTGAAATGAGCTGTGCCATTCAAAAATTAATCGCATTTCCATAATAATATAAATTTAAATGCCGAATTCAAGATCTTTCTCGTTAAGAAAACACGTATGCATATTCTTCGCGCAAAGAATCACATTATCCCCATTCTTTGAAGAAAAAAGGAAAAAAAAAAAAGAAGTATCATCACAATAACCATTTCAAAAAAAAATCCACATCACAATACCTGTCAAACAAGTGTCGCAACTAAACACAGAGAAGCATAATTGCCCCGCACAGAGAGGGGAGGGGGAGGGGGGGGAGGGAGGGAGGCAAGAATCGATTTGACAAGGGATGCACGCGAGGGGAAGAAAAATATTATAAAATTATGATAAGTTGTATCAAAGGTGTTTTCATAAAAATTTCTCGCCACCTTGGAACAAAGTAACCAACACGTGTACCAATCTCCCGCGACTGGTGTTCGTGCTAAAAGTATAATAACCCGTCGTATATCGCCCGGTCGGGGAAAAATAACGAAGAAATTTCACGAAGGTGTTACCACGAGTGTGTATCGCGCAACCGGTATTTATCTTATGAACCTTGATTATAATCGTCCTTCTCCGGGATCCAGGTGAAATTCGAGGCAAAATATTTACTATATCTTCGAGACACGACGGGGCACGTCGCCGATCACAGTCGTGTTTCGGCTTTAGAACAGTGATGGATTTCTACGAGACGAACGTCGTCAAGAGTTATCGATTGTTTCTGCTCCTCGTTGGCGTATGGCCGTACGAATATTCGAAAGCGAACGAGATGCAAAGGATCTTGTACATCTTGTGCGTAATTTCTTTCTTACTCGTTCAGGTACGATACTTTTATTTTTTTCTTCAATCATTGTGTTAAATTGTTACGTTGATTGTAATAATATCGTAGTCGTAGTGGTGGTGGCGTGGTTAAACGGACTTTGTATCATCGAGACAAAATATTTTTTATATTTAAATTATTTTAAATATATGCGTGTCTGGATATGTTTCTAGATTTTCAAATTGTTCACCGATGAGATCAATTACGCTCTGCTGTACCAGATAATTACAAATACATTGATCGTTTCGTTAATATTAATAAAATATATTAATATTTGGGTTAAGATCGGAGAGGTGGGTTTGTAGTCTAATTGGAATAGCTTAAATAGTAGGAGATATGCGTGTGACATTTTTAATACGATTTAATTCTTGAGAATTATTTTATTCGTATCGATTATTTTTCTCGTTATAGTTTAAGGAATTTTTTGACTATATAAAGGTCGATTTGAGCAAGTTGACAGAAAGAGAAAAGATTATAATAAAACGAACGTATAAGAAATGTTCGTATTATTGTCAGATTATCTTTCGTAAGTGAGCTTTCTTATTAATTTTTCTTGCGTGTTTTATAAATATTAAAATATTTAAATTTCCTGATAATCCAGTAATCTATATTTCAGTACTCGGTTACTTTTTGGTCTTTGTACTGATAATAATCCAAGTATTTCAAATCGTTGATTACAAGATTGCATCCTCAAACAGAACAAATTATTTTAATCAAATAATTGTAACCGAATATTTTATCGATCGTGAAAAATATTCTTATCCCATTTGTATTCATTTAAGTATAACAATATTGATAATCTCTTGGATGGAGATTGGTACCGATGTATTACACGCGATAATATTAACGCACATCATTGGAATATTCGACAAGATTGGGTAAGCTTTGACGCTTATTTATCGACTAATTATTTAGAAAAATATTTAGAAAATTTTCTCCTCGTTAGATACTTAACGATACATCTGTTCGACGAACCAGAAATTACTTGTCAAAAGATTGACAAATATTTAATTTACTACAAAAGATTGGTGTACATCGTGAATTTGTATAAGAGAAACTTGAAGTCAGTGACTTTTATCTATTTCTCTATATTTTGTTATATCGTACAGAAAGAAAAATAAACTTAATTCGTTTAATAGTCGTATATATTTTAGATTTTGCAAAAAATACAATTCTAGTATACTTATATGTGGAAGTATTCAAATAATTTGGGGAACATTAATTATCTCTGCCTTACTCTTAAAAGTAACTATAACTCCTTTATATAGTTTATGCGTATTTTCCTTAATTTTAATTTGTTATAATTTATTCAATCTCTTCAGTTGAGAAACGAATTATTGCCACACAATCTACGAATAGTGTTTATATATTGTTTTCTCATAAGTTCATACTTAATTACCATGTACATGTTATTGTTACCCTATCAAAAAGTATACGAGATCAGTGAAACTTTGTTCTTCAAGGCGTAAGTTTCTGAAATATTCGTTCAATAATAAGACATATCTCTATTTCCTTGTTATAATTTGTCGAACACATTTAGATATTGCGGACACTGGTACTCAACCTCGGCGAAAACTCAGAAATTGCTGTTACTCCTTATGCACAGTTTCATGACACCGTATAAATTCCGATTTAGAAATCTCGTAATTGTGAGCAACCAAATATACGTGTCGGTGAGTCGCTTTGTACAATTTAAATTTGATAAAAATTGAGGAGTTTCGCAGAAAAAGAACCTCCAATTTGAATAATATAATTTCAATATTATAAAAGAAAAAAAAATATTAAGTATAAATAAATAACTCTTCTCGAATCTTCTTCTTCTTCTTCTTCTTCTCGCGCGAGGTTCTCTTTCCAAGAAGAACGTACGTCCTCAATCGTACGATTCGACAGCGGTTATCGAAGAAACAATATTTTCATTGATTAAAGATGATACGATTCGGTTTCTCCTACTTCATGTTCATACATTCCATCCAAGAATAATCGCGATCGAAGTTGAGCGTGATCGATCATCCGATGGATTTCGCAGGATCATCGTGAATCATCGTGGACGGAACGGTACGAAGTATATGCGGTGTCGGCACGATATCACGGACTAATTAAACCGAGAGGATATTGCGTAAGTGTAATTACACCCCTAATTGTACGCGCCCTACGCGACCGATACGCTTTTGTCACGCACCGTGTTGTATTTCGTAACCGCAATGCTTGTTGCGTTCGCGGTACGCGATTATCGTGTGTGCTGTTCGTGTTCTATGAGATGCACCACCGGAAGGAGAGACAATGTTACTTTGTTACGAGCCGGCCTTTCCATATTTTCAACCACACCGATTAAACGTTAACGAGAAATGTGAAAAAAGGACGACTTTGTATTCGCACTAGTATTCTTATTCCACAATCGAATTGAAACTTTACTATATTTAATAACAATACTTTGATGTTTCGCTAATAGTTGTATTGTGTAAATGTTAAACACACGTTTGACATCGTGAAAAATCTGTTAAAAATAAAATTTGTGGAGAACAAGTATAAAGTACAAATACGTGTACGCTTTTTTTATCGTGGGCGGAGTTTAAATTAAACTGACAATCGTATATGTTGTCGAGTGTATACACGAGTGGTTAATTTTTATCTTTTATTTTTTTATTTCTCGTTCGAATTGTTGGAATAAATATGTTGTCGGATACGGTAAAAAGTAATCTCTTTTATATTTATCCGACTGCAATCTAATATTTCTGTAACATATAAAGTTAGATCTAATTTTCCTTCAGGGGGATAAAAATCTTTCTACACTTTATGTGTGAAGTTCTTTCCCGGTAAATGAGTT